ATATAAAGAAGATCTCTCTTTATCTCTTTCCTGCTCTTCAGAATAAACTCAACCAAGTGGGTCAACTCATGCAAAAAGACACAATGTGCATGAGCTCACTGCCAGCATGCGGGCTTTGCTTTCATTCGTCACTTTCTCTTTCACTTCTGCCTTCACTGCTCCTTATCCTCCCCCCTCTCCCTCTCTTTTTCTTTACCATCACTTTTCTGTATATAACAGCTACTCAGCAGTTTTTCACTGCTATCAATAGGAGCATTAAAATGAGCCTGAGTAAGAAACCTTTTGTTGGAGCTTAATTACCGGGCCTGGATCTGGACATTGGCTGTAATCCACACGCCCACCACTGGACACTATCTGTGTCCAACTGTGTTCCTCAAACTGTGGCTAAAAGGGTACATAAATGCAAACTTAACTGTCTCTACCGAGATATACACTTCTTTCTAGTCTCTAAGTGTTTACGTGCACACCGCTCACTCACAGGCAGAGTCACATGAGATGCCATCACTCACACTTCCTCTCCGCCTGCTGAGCAGCGCGCCCAGGGGAAAGGACCAATCAGCATATTATTATGACCCGGTCGCCAGGGTCCCACCCTGCTTTAATCTAAGAGGAATTTAGGCTGGAAAGACAGATTAACTGTGGACTGAAGGGTCAAAGATCCACCCCCTGGGTATTGTGTCCTGCCTGAAGGTCTCGGAGACCTTTATAGAGTACAGCCTGAAATAAACTGCTCAGTGTAAAGTGATTGACTTTTATTATTATTAAAGAAGTCACATTAAATATTTTTATGAAATGAAGTCCACTACTGCTCTAAAGTTTGGAATAATTACACATTTTTAATGTTTTTGAATGAAGTCTCATGCTCAACAAAGCTGCATTTATTTGATTAAAAATACAGTACAAACAGTAAATATTACAATTTAAAAGAACTCTAATTTATTTAAATTTAAATTATATCTGAAGAATCATGTGACACTAAATACTGGAGTAATGGCTACTGAAATTCAGCTTCACCATCACAGGAATAAATGTATTTTTTAAATGTATTGAAATAGAAAACTGTTATTTAAATTGTAATAATATTTCACAATATTCCTGTTTTAATTGTATCAAATAAGTGCAGCCTTAACATTAAAAAAGAAATCTTTGAGAAACCTGTCAGAATTTAGGATTATATGGTAGTTTATATTTTAATTTCCATTTAGAAGTAAATTAAACATAATATAAAGAGGAAAATTCATAAATTATTTCAATAAATATCTTTTAATTTAGTTTTTAAAACTGATATGGTACATGACGTCCACTTTTCATGTCTGAAGTGCTCTTAATAAGAATTGTGTAGTCTTAATGACTAGCTGCACTATATAGTGGCAAACTTAATGGTTTGCCTATTCTTAAGTACCACTATCTTCAAAAGTCAATAGACAAAGTGCTAGTTAGGCCCTAGAGAATAGAGTAACAAAAACACCCATCCCATTATGCCACTGTAATGCCAGATTTACATTTACTTCATATCCATTTCAGTAATAATTTCCACTGATGCAATATCTCATTGCTGTTGAATCTTCTTATATGAGTCCATGTATGCATACTGAGTTTACACTTAGACTCATCTAGCCCTAAAATGAGGGCTTTGGAGATGCCTGACCCAATTAGACCTTCTCATGCATCCAGGTATGACTTTATCACAAAGTTTGCATCTGAGTTTTCTTCCAGCAATCAAACCTATATGTATTTTATTGACTAGTGAGTTAGCGTGAAGCTCAATATGTTGCTGTGCTTGTTATGCGCAATATAACTGCGTGTGCACGTTATGAAATGCCAGAGTAGCAGATGGAGTGAACAGGTGGCATGTAATGTGTGTGGGTTAGTATGCATTTTTCTTTCTTTTGTGTGGGTCAGCATGTTATAGTGGGTGAGTGGGTGGGCTTTCTATAAAGGGTGGCTGACAAATCCTAAAAGGCTTCCTGAGACGGTTAAATGGAAAGTTCTCTGCCCTTCGTAAGACTCTGACTCCGTAAACCTCTTCAAAAATGAGTTGCATTTCACTTCTGAACAGTGAAAGAGAGGAACTGAGAAAGCATCAGAGAACTGGAGCTTGGTTTGGAAAGAAAGGAGTGGCTTACAAAGCTGTGACGTCAATGTCCGAGCAGTAAATAGATAAATAAACACTTTATCAGACATTTCAAAGCCTTTTTGCTGTTTGCTGTACTCCATATACTAGTTTTTAAAAACATTAAACATATGTCGGTCATGTGTTTGCTTACTTTATATGGCTTTTTAGAAGCATTTGGACACTGTGGCACTTAAAAATGAAACCCATGCGCATTGCTTTCAGCCCTTCCCCCCAAAAAACACCCACAAACATACCATCCCAGTTGTACATGCCAGCCTTAGACAAAAATACACGAGAAACACATGAGAATGAGAATACAAGAGCGACTTTGACAAGTTTATAAATACATCCATGCCCACTTTTGGCACGTCCTTGCTTCAAAAAAGACATGCTTTGCATTATAATTCAGGGTCAGAGTTTTTTATGTAGTGACACATCCAAAAAATCAACTCGCAAGCTGCTAAAATAAAAGAAAAAAAGAGAGGAACGAAGGATAGGAAGTGATCAAACGTTGCCTCCTCCATAAATTGTGGACATTCCCACAGGGAGTCTGAGAGGCAGGTTGCACACACTGAGGTTCAGGGGTCAATGAGCATGGAGATGGTACAAGGAGGGGGCTTCATGTGATTGACAGCCAGACAGCAGCAACTCTGAGCTCCTCTGACCCTAGAAAACAAGTAGAAAGGGGGAAATGTGTAAAACCATAAAGTGGTGAAAAAAACGATCAGATATTTATTAATTTAGACCTGTATACCAGCATCCATTAACCATGTAAAGCCTGACATATGAAATAAAAGGAAAAAAAAGATTGCATATGTGTTTTTATGGCTCATCTAGTATGATATAGGAGAATATGCAGCTCATATTCGTTTGCAATTTGGTGCAGTTGTTATTTATATGGCCAAAAATACAATTCTGATAACTTTTAATTTAACTTACTGATCTTTATAACAGTATAGCAGACTACTTACATACAGTGGGTACGGAAAGTAGAAAAATTTAAGGGGGTCTGAATACTTTCCGTACCCACTGTAAGATGCATATGAATATCTGTTGTCACTCTATATTTCTCAATAATATGTCTTGGTAAGATGTTATTTTATGATCAAAGCTCTGTAGTTTTATTGTGGGGCAAAACATAATGCAATGCAGAACAATGATGATTGAGAGATGATAAAATAACCGTTCCTCAAAAACCTTATGTATCATTTGATACTCACATTTTAACTTGATTTTTCTAAAATGATATATGAAAAATCAAGTAAACCTAAGTTGCTTTAGTCCAGTAAGTGTTCATCTTGAAATATTACTAACCATATAACAGTTATTCATATGTTTACTTTATAAAAATTAAAGATTTCCTGGCAAAAAGACATGTACTACAACCTGAAGGATTATACTAAAAGACCGTTTACTTGCTAAAAAAGTATAAACTATCATTTACACAACATGAGATTGTGTACAGGTGCTTCTGCAAAGCTGTGATCATGTTGAAAGTTTAACACCAAATACAGAAGGCTTTATAGGGTTAAAGTCTGTTTGATGAGGGTCCTTCACGTCTTGCATGGCCTGGATTTCGCTCTACATTCTGCAGCCTAATTGCATAATTTAGGTGCCATGCTTTAGCCCTAGGCAGTGGATAATTTGCAGTGCTCTTGTCCAGGCTAAACCGCAGAGGGGAGGGGTGATTTGGAGTAGGGGGTGTGCTACAGTGATTTAGGGAAGTGAATTCAGAATTTAGATAGATAATGGCTGGCTGGGTTTGAATAGGGGGCAAACAGGGAGGGGTAAAAGGGTAGCCACCATTGATCCCTCTCTTCAGTCTCAGGCCTATCTTTTGCTGGCGGGTGGCCATGTCAAGCCTCTCTTCAAACACATGACATCACCTTCGTTTATCGCCAGCAGTGTTGCTGCAGCAACAGCTGACCAAGGCCTTTGAGACCAGTTGCATCTCCTCTTTTAGCTACAACACGTCACACATGCTCATGACAGTCCAAATCTTTCATTTTAAACTGTTACTTTTATGCTTGTTGCGTTTAAAGGCACAGAAGTATCTTGAAGTCATTGAGGTAGGCTCTTTTGACTTACACCACTAAGAACAATCATCCATCCAAGCATTGGGGTAGCGACTGTTGCACAAAGAAGCAATAGCACTTGTTTTATTGAGGTAAACCATTCTAGTGACACAGTAAAAGAAGTTTGCATAATATTAACATGGTAGTGGTTTAAACTTTGCCCTAAGACGTTCGGAAAAATGTCCTTGTTAAGCATTTCTTCCTAGAATCGTCTCAGTTTCTCATACTCTACAACGTTTCTTTATATAGTCTGGTGTTATAATTGCCATGCAGCCACTCTAGCCTATAATTTAACCTGTAGCTGCATTCCTCATCAGGAACCTATCCACTATACGATCTATTTATATAAACATGCTATAACATTTATTTTTATTTGGTGATAGTAAATTACTCCATTGACTAATTTTCAATTCTCTTTATTGCAATGATTCTTGACTATGTACCCCCACAATCCCATCAATAAATCGACACCAAAACGAAATTCTGTTCCTTTTAAATCATATTATAGTGGATATCATTTAGCATTATACAACATATAATTAAAATACCAATTATTGCTAAATTCAATAAAAACATTCAATACTGTGGTTGAACAAGAGACTTTCCAAATGTCTTTTCATCTATGCAAATATACTATATATAACTCTTTAGTCATATCTATCTATCTGGAACAGATACTTTTAATATATGTACCTTTATGGCATATGGTTCAACACACTTAAGCATGATGAGTGTTTTTAGCATATAGCATGTTTTGAGAGGAAACAACAGAAAGCAGGACACTGATGCCAGTTTTACCCTTGTGATGATGTTCTTGGGAGGGTGAGGGGTGTAATTTCACATCTTTGGGTTTCACTGAAAGAGGCCAGGAAAAGCTCAAATCTTTGTCCCTCCCCTACTCCCTTCCCCCTCTCTCCGATTTGGAACGAGGATCTTGCGTGAAGTGTATTTATAAGTACAAGTGCGGGTGTACTGTTGACCAGACTGTAAAGGAGATTTCACATATCCCCTGCTTCATCACATTCTTATTCCCCTCATGAAATAAGGTGCCTCGATACTCCCTCCACGCTGGCCGGGTGTGAAGTGGACACGCCGGGGATGGACGTCTTTTCATTTGCATGTGTTTTGTCCACACCCCTTACGAGATAACGACAGGACCAAGCCTACAGCCTTGCCTTCAGAGGGAGAAAGTGACACGGCTCGCCGTGTGTGTGCAGTGAATTGAGGATACTCAGTGCATGAGCATTTATCGAGGATATATTTTGTATGTCTTGCGCGAGAAACTTACTCGTGCCATCCATTACGTTGAAAGTATCAGCGCGCGGATTGAAAGACTCGGATTTGGATTTAAACATCGATGATACCAACCCTGACAAACATGTATGTAGTTTCAGTGTTCATTAATTTATTTTAACGACGTTATTGTGATGTATGTACTGAGTAAATTCGGTGCTTATTTAAGCGTCACATTTAAAACATCTCTAACGGAAATATACAATAGGTGGTAAAGTATAATGACAACACAAAACAGTCTATGCCAATGTATTTTGAGCTACCTGGTAAAAGCGAGTGCATTTGCCTTGTAAACTGTGAATATTTGTAGTTTTCAGTTATTTTGCAAATGAATGTGCAGGCAGTGTGATAGACTTTCTCAAAACATGGCATGGAGGAGACTGAGAGTGAGCTCAGATGACAAAGAAAGCTTTGTTTGGCATGTGTGTGTAAAAGATGCAACCTCGGATATTAATAGTCAGGAATTACATAGCGGAAAGACACCGTCAGGAAACTTTGTGTTATTGCTTCGAAGCCTCTCTTTTCTCTCTACACGTACTTGCTCATAGCCTCTCAGTTGCTTTAGAGAAGAGAATATCCCATGAAGCTAATCCTGCACGACCTAATCCCTCTGATCCCCCCCCCCCCATGCATGCTAGGGAATGCTGGCTCTAATAACCTATTTTTTGTTTCTTTGGAGTATATGTTTCTTTTTTCTAGATTGCTAGGTTGATTGATGCAAGTAAACAACTTTGGGCTATGCGAACTGCCACATTTAGTAGTTTGTTGTGGAATGGGAGAGGAGCACCATGATGTATGCTGTCAGTCCTTCACATGAGATTAGGACATACAAGCCCACTAGGATCATTTTAGAAAACAGTGGTACCTTTTTGTCTTCAAGACTTCAAGCTTAATGTGCATGGACATAATTAAATGTTGATGTAGGTTACAGTATTCCTTCTCATACTTATGCTTCATTAAATTTAATTAGGTTGAATTTATATATAATATTAATGATATGAATATAAATATTGACATGTAAATATTTTCAAAATATATACTGTATGTGTGTGTATTTATATACACATAATAAATATACACAGTACACACACATATTATGTAAGCAAAAACGTTTATTTTGGATGCGACTAATCATTTGACAGCTTTAAAAATGATCAATTGTAGTGTTTTATTTAGAAGTTATTGTCGATAGTAGGGCTGCACGATAAATCGCATGCGATATTTAATGCGCATCTTGTCAGTAAAGCCATTCTGTAATCAGCGGTAAATCTCCATCACGTGTGGGCTTTCACATGGAGCAGCATTAACTACACAGAGCCGTTGTTCACTGACAAGCTGCGCAAAACCACAATCATATTTTGCGCATGTTTTGCGCAGCTTGTCGGTGATGGAGATTTACCGCTGATTAAAGAACCGGCTTTACTGACAAGATACGCGTTAAATATCGCATGCGATTTATCGTGCAGCCCTAGTCGATAGCATGAAAATAAATATCAGTGTATCGGTATTGGGCAAAATCTGAATCTGTGAATCCATAATCAGCGGCCCACTTTAAAGTTTAGGTCCCTAAATGGACCCTGTTCTACAGAGCTATTGCCTGTCCTACAACTTTATCGACTATCCTCTCCACATGACACAGAAAGCAGGAAAGCCAAAATGTCCTCATTCCTTTGACGTGGCTATGTCTTGACTTCCAGTTCTTTGTGTGCTGTGCTATTTATGAACTTGCACGTGAGATTTGCTGCAAATCTTGTGACTCTACTAACCATGAGGCTGTGTTGCTGTACCCGCAGCCGTACTTTCTGTGAAGAGTGTGGGAACACTTCTTTTGGAAAACTCAGAGCCTTGTGGGCAGCACCACGGGCCACACAATCTGTCCTTTGTGCAGACCTGGACCGACATGAAGGGACCTAATTTAGCTAATGATTTGATCAAGCAATGCGATGAAAGTGATAAAGTAAAAGTGTGTGCTGCTGGTCATACTGTCTTAGTTGACAACTTCATGTTTTTTTGCAATCTGTAAATCGTTGTGAATGTGACATTAAGCTAGAGAGGTTTGGTGGATATTTTCTATTTAAAATTGGCTTTATTTGATTAGATGGGGCATTTTCCCTTTGCTTTCATTATCTTCTTTTTTTTAGTTACATCATATTTGCTTATCCAAACAGTGTGCCAGATGTGTACTGTAGTTCCTAGTCTTGTTTAAGTAACATATTTACATTCAACAGTTCTCTCTTTACTAAGTCAGAAAGGCAATGAACATGCAGTTTTTCCCTTCTACTTTCTCTCTATAAACTCTCTCCCGATTATTTTCTTTTTCATTCTGTTTCCTCACAAAGACATGCACGTCCTCCCCCCAGAGGAAAGACTGTCTGTCCTGACTGACCATTCTGAAAATAGGCACGCCTACCCTTGAGGAAGGACTGGGCTGACTGTTTACTGGCCTAAAAAAAACGTCTACAGTAACTTTCATGCTTTTGGCTTGAAATGAAATCTGTGTTACCTGACTTACTCTTAGAGTGCAGAATGCCTAGCGATTTGGCAGCACACAATTGGGTATTTATTCCCAATTTTGTATTGTGGGATTCTGTTTCTTAGAAATGGATGTAGGTTAGCTGCCAGCATCTATTTATCCTTTTATCTTCTACAATGCTTTCCCTTCCTTTTCGGGAAAGCAGATAGTGCATTCATTTTTCTTCCTGTCGGTCAGACAACCACTAGTTTCAGAGGAAGCCAGCACGTCGTGAAATGAGTGTCTGGATCTGTGTGGGAGGTTACCAATGATTCCTCCAGTCTTTTGCACCTGGAAGTGTGCTCTTTATCGGTATTGTGAAGGTTGGATGATTCTCTTGCAAAGCACAAACTTTTTCCGTTGTTTCAGCTTCACTGGCAGTGGTTAGTTTGTGACTTTAAGCACATAAATGTATCATTCTGTGTTATACCTTCACAGAGATTCCACTGTAAAAAAGATTTTACTTCAGAAAAGTTGTAAATAAAACAAAATATTTGGAGTATGTTTTAAAATAAAGTTCCAGTCTTTCTACTTCGAAAATTCATGTTTAATTCAATATGTTACTTGGCATCCCTTTGTAATTATTTGTGAAATTTCCTAGCAGTTTCTGAGTGAAAATAGTTTCACTACCATTTTAGTTTTCAATGTAATAATGCACACGTTCTCCTTGTTTAGACACACATCACATGCACACAGGGCCTCCTACTGTAGTTTGTGTGGCATGTTATTAGCGATGGTTAATTTGTTTGATTGCAGTGTGTGCCTCCACAATGGGTGGTGTTCATTTTTAAACTCCACTTTTTCTCAGACTCGCCTCTGCTCAGAGCAGCTACCTGGACCACTGGATGTTTCACAAAATATGTTGTTGAAAAAACAACATTTAGGGACCAAATTATAATTTTTTTAATATAGTTGACAATTTACAGAATCACTCAATAAAGGTTGTTCAGAAATGCTTAGTTAATAGTTTCTTACTTTATCTTCTAACAACTGCTGTGTGCTTTAAAGATTATGACGTTTTAAGCAAACCAGTAGTCTTAACAAAAGCAACCTTCAGCAAAAATACATTTACTGAAGAAACCATTCCATTTTAGTTTGCTTTTACAAGACTTTCAGCTCTTTTATCACCACTTGCATCGCAAGTGCATTTCTGTACCAGGTGAGGCACCGAGCAAGTTTTCTATGTCAGAAAAGCCATATATATGGTGCTGGTATTTGATGTAAATGTTAAAATGCATTATATAATAGTATTATGCAAGGAACCACACGAAAATAAGTCTTTATTAATCAATAATCTGACCCATAATCATAATTTGTGGGGGAAAAAAAAATCTAAATTGTTGGTGTTTTACTGACACTAGCGTTCCTTTTTGCTGGAAACTGAACTGTGTGTATAGGTACGTTTTTGGAGTTGCAAAAATGTAGGCAGAGCATTGTTTTTCCTATAAGCCTATATTGTAAATATCAGTCTGTCATATACAGATGCATCTCAATAAATTAGAATTAGTTCATTTATTTCAGTAATTCAACTCAAATTGTGAAAGTCGTGTATTAAATAATTTCAGTGCACACAGACTGAAGTAGTTTAAGTCTTTGGTTCTTTTAATTGTGATGATTTTGGCTCACATTTAACAAAAACCCACCAATTCACAATCTCAACAAATTAGAATACTTCATAAGACCAATTAAAAAATTTTTTTAGTGAATTGTTGGCCTTCTGGAAAGTATGTTCATTTACTGTACATGTACTCAATACTTGGTAGGGGCTCCTTTTGCTTTAATTACTGCATAGATTCTCTATGGGGTTCAGGTTTGGTGAGTTTGCTGGCCGGTCAAGCACATCAACACCATGGTCATTTAACCAACTTTTGGTGCTTTTGGCAGTGTAGGCAGGTGCCGAATCCTGCTGGAAAATGAAATCAGCATCTTCAAAAAGCTGGCCAGCAGAAGGAAGCATGAAGTGCTCCAGAATTTCTTGGTAAACGGGTGCAGTGACATTGGTTTTCAAAAAACACAATGGACCAACACCAGCAGATGACATTGCACCCCAAATCATCACAGACTGTG